GCTTGTAACACTCCAAAGAGAAAGGAAAAATTGAAATCGCAACATATGACCCCTTTAAAGTCCCCATGAAATCAAAATTTAAGTTTTTTGGGTGTTAGTATCAATATGTTAGTCTTAAGGTTATCTATAAGGCAGTGTGCTCCAAAACAGTGACAAAATTCGCATTTAGAAGATAGAAGCATTGAAAGCTTGCAGTTCGTCACTTCCGCCACGTCAAATCATACTTATGCTTCTCATCAAACTTTCTGTCCAATCAAATGCTCTCTAGAATCCGAAGCGGCCGCCCCTACACTATAAAATAGACGCTGAAGCCGCGGCTGAAATCTGTCACTTGTCCACAGAATTAGTATTTTCTGTACAGTGAATGGCACGTAGTGCACTATATAGGGGACAGGGAACGATTCAGACAGTGTAACTATGCTTTCCATTGAGGAAAAAAAGAAGTCTGGTTTCGCGCTGTGTCACGCTAACCATCGCACCGCACACACACTCTGCTCCGGTCCAGAGACACGATAGCACGGAGCGGATCACATGCGCGAGTTGGCGCAGACCACAAAATGTATCGGAGCTATTTGAATTCTACACAGAATGCTAGATTTTTTAGCAATATGGATGAGATTGTGGCTGGCATACCCTGTCAAATGCGGCTTTACGGAGCTCAACGGCTCTGAACGGCTCTAGCCCAAGCTGTGATATAAACGAACGCTATTGGCTATTTTAAAAAGGGGCGGGGCTGCTTGATATGTTCCGCCCTGTCTTCCTGTTTCAGTTAAAATGACGTCAACACATAGAGTAACGCTGCGTGTTTCTAACCATTTCAGGGGACCTTTAAAATAAATAAATAAAACATGACATTTTAACTACAGCCACCAGATGGCTCTAGAGCATTACTCAATGGCTCATTTGCCATTTTCACATAGGTATAGATATTTTTTATTTTTTTAGAAGAGGTTTTTCTATTAGATTAATGTTAAGAGACTACAGAATCATTATTGTAATAATATAAAATGACTCTTTGTGAAAGTTTAGCATTTTTTGTACTGAAATATAATTTGTTGTAATTATGACACGATTGCAGTCAAACCTGCATGTGGTGTTATATGTGTGTGTGTGTGTGTGTGTTTGCATTTATTCTCCATCGTGGATGTGCTGTGGTGTCCCTCCATCATTTCTGTGTGTGTTCTGAATTGTAGCTGATTTTGATTTGTCAAATTATGTAAGAGAGAGCCACTCATGTCATGTCAGTTTTTCATTTCTTATGAGTGGGTTTTATGGGTTTGGGGGGCGTTGGGGGGTTGTGTGTGTTTTTCCTCCATCGTGGGTGTGCTGTGGTGTCACCTCTTCAGTTTTTGTGTGTTGTCTGCATTGTAACTGACATTTTTGACAAATTATGTAACCAAAAAAAATCTATATTTCTAAAATCTTCAATTGATGTCTATGGGTGATTTTTGGGGGGTGGGGGTGTGTGTGTAATCGAGTAATCATTCTTCAGTGTGAACGTGTGGAAGGAGTGCCACTTCATTTTCGTGTATTTTGTGGTCCGCATTGTGGTGGATGTAGTGATTTTATTTGACAAATTAAAAAGAAAAGTATTGATTTTTTCGTTCCCCATTCATTTAAATGTGGGGTCTCCAGAGACCCCAAACATGATGAGTGTGACTTTTTTCCACACTAACATACAACCAGATATCAATCCAGTTTATTTTTTTTTATTTGTAGAGCTACCAAGTGTTGACAACCATAAGTCTCATGACATTTAGATACAGCAAACATCATTGGGGGTCAAAAAGACCCCAAACAGTGCACAGGGGTTAAGGTCAGGACTCATGTATTTTCTTCTTTTTCCACCATCCTTTAGTGAATTTACTTCTGTGCTTTTGGTCATTGTCTTGTCTTGTTGGCTCACCAAACAAAGTTTGAAGTCACAAACTGCTGTCCTGACATTCTCCTGTAAATGTCTTGAAACACTTTTGAACTCAACAGCATCCTTGCTCAGTGTTTTTCTGATCTTGGACACATGAACAGAGACTTTCACAGTCTGAGAGTTTTCTGGAGGTCTCTAGCTGTTATTCTTGGGTTCCCTGTCACCTCGTTCAGAAACCTGTTGTGCTCTCACTGTGATCTTTGCTGGAGACCCGCTGCGAGGGAGAGCAGCAACAGCCCAGAATTTTCTACATTTGTAGACAGGACACCTCAGCGTGGACTGATGTGAACACCCAGGTCTTTAGCATTTTCAAGCTTTGTGCATCTCTCTAATGTGTTGTGAGGTCCTATGAAAGCTTAAGAGATTGAAGCATGGTTCACACTAACCGATCTTTCTTGTGAGGAACAGATTTGCAGTAACCAGGCTTTGTGTGCCTTTATTTAAAGAGAACAGCATCTTTGCAACCCACAATTTCAATCTCATCTACTTTTTTGACTCCAATTAGCTTTTGGAGAAGTTGTAATAGAGATTGTGTCTTACCTATAACAGCCTGCCCTATGAGTCATTACTCAGTGTCTTCAATAATATTCTGACAAGTACAGTTGTGTCTGTGTTATTAGTCCTGTCAGATTGTGTTTGTCTATAACTGTGACTTAGATGAAGATCAGACCACATTTTATGAGTAATTAATGCAGAAATATATTCACAAACTTATTCCTGCCAATGCATTAACAAACAAATCTCACATCAAACACATGCTGATTCAGTCACTGCTGTAAAGCTTTTGAGAACAGACCTTCTTTAAAAATATGACATTGAGTATAAAACATAACTAATCCATTAAGTGTCATGTAAGCAGGTATGGTGTAATTTTCAGATTAATTAAAATATTCTGTAATTATTAGAAACACTTACCCTCAGAAACACCCCAGAAGACAAAAGCAAAGAACATGATTATATTTGGACAGACGACTAGAAACAGATGAAGATGGAGGACTGAATCTAGAAGGAAAACATAGAAAATAACTTAAGATTAATTAAATGAGCAAATTAAGTTTGAATTAAATATTTAATAACATTTACATTTATTCATTTAGTAGACTCTCTGCAACAAAGTGATTCACTCTTTTTCAAACGTTAATTACTAAAAGCCCTAAATGAACTTTAATGCAGCCAAAGAGAATATTCAGTCTACATCTGTCAACATTTCACTGGCATTTGCAAAGACAAACACACACAGACAGACACAAATGACACAAACCAGCCAAAAGGTATTTTACTCTCTTTGTCCAACCTCTGATGGTCTACAACTCAAACTAGTTCTCATAAAGATAGTTGTGCAAGTGCACGCACACACACACACACATACACACACACACAGAGGTACATATATACAAACAACTGACACATGATGAAGCGGTACAAAGTCACAGCGGACACATTTTTGATTTGCGACATGCATGCATGTACTAATGTCAGATCACTGCAACCCACACATACACATAGACAGATATCAGACATGAGTGACTTTGAGAGGGATCAATCCATGCAGAGTTTTGCAAAGTTTGCTACTTCAGTATTTGTAGATTATCCATTCATATGATTCTATAGTATACTGGAAAACAATGATTATTGGCAAAATCATTCAATGTATGTAATGAGTCAATATTTACAGTGTTGACCCTTGTTCTTCATAACCTCTGCAGTTCGCTCTGGCATGCTGGATATTAGCTTCTGGGCCAAATCCTGACTGATGGCGATCCATTCTTGCCTTATTAGTTCTCAGAGTTGATCACAATTTGTGGGCTTCTGCTTGTCCACTCGCCTTTTGAGGACTGACCAAAGGTTCTCTATGGGATTGAGATCCGGGGAGCTGCCTGGCCACGGGTCCAACATTTCAATGTAATGATCTTCGAGCCACTTCTTTATCATCTTGCTTTGGCTCCATCATGCTGGAAAATGCACGGATCATCACCAAATTGCTCATGGATTGTTGGAAGAGTTGGAAGAAGCAGGACATTTTGATACCATTCTTTATTCATG